TAATGACAACTGTGACTTCTTTTCATTGCTCAGACCGTAGCTATGGTCTTCTCCTTGGAAGTAAACTCTGACTACCTAGTGTTTCCTGATTTCACAAAAGAAAACACCATGCCGGTTTCCAGGGATTTTTGAAGTTCTCTGCTGGAGGCTGAACTCTCCCACACATGAAAGCGTGGATTTTTTTGGACCTGAGGGTCCATTTGTTTTCACTCATAGGCTTAAACAATTCATCATTGCCTTTGGTGAGTAGCAGTCCTTTAGGGCAATAAATCTTACAACTGTACTTTAGACGACTGCTGCTCACCACAGGCAATGATAAATTCTTTAGGTCCTTGTCTGCTGTATTTCATTGCTCATTTTTACCAGTAGAGGTGTTTGTAAGGACATTGAGGAGATATGGTTACAGCATAACGAGGAGAGGAGAGGAGAGGAAAAATACATATATAGTGAGTTGGAGAGGAGAAACTTCTTAATCTGTTACTATACCTTCGTTATTTGCAAGTTTGAGGGTGGAGTCAGAACCTCACCTGCCATTAACCAGTGCATTTAACAAGGAACTATCTCAAATATTTAATTGCAAGCCCTCGTTCCTGCCAAACACAATCAAATGAAAAATATCCACCAATTGAAATATTATGCCATCGTGTGCAATGATATGTGCTGGAGTTTGGCAGTCCACTGCAACCATGATGTAAACAGAATCTGTAGCAGCCCAGTGCTTTACTCCTCAACTCATTACTAATATATTTTGTATTTAGTGCACGCAGGCTGGAGTTTCCTATTTTTCAATTCTTTTCCGTTTAGCCGACAGGGAAATTTTACTAGAGGGAAAACTTTGAAGGCAACACACATGCCTCCTTCGCCTAGAATAGTTCTCTTTTCTGTGCTGAAGCCGTCAGGGAAGGACTAAAGATAGGTTATCTAAACTCATTTACAGGTCACCTGGCAAAAGGACAGAGGAGAGGTCGGTTCTTAACTCCTCTGCCCCACCCCTCCCAAATACCTTGGATATTTAGATGGCAGAGACCTCATAAGCTCTAGTTTTCCCACTTATTTTTGATGTAATTCTTAATCTGAGTGCTTTTACAAGAAACCTTCATTGAATTAAATGTTTCCTCTGACACTTGTACTAGAAAAGCCTGGGCACTTACCTTGCCTTTACCCCCTGCCAAGTGGTACGTGTTAGTCCCACCATTTACCTTGTCTTCTGCCCTTTAAGCAAGGGCCAGCTGGAGAGAAAGGCAATGAAGATTTTTGTTGAACACCTTAGGATGCTGGATTTTAACATAGTGCATTCATGTGATTGCAGCTAGAGACCCACAAGGGGTTAATTCTAACTATATGGTATCTATTTTTAGCCTTTATTTGTAGGCGAATGTGTGACTCTCTTCTCTGAAGCAAAAGCAGAAGGAGTCAGCCTTTTAGAAACTGGAATAGATGTTGTTGAAGAGTCCAAGCCGCTGTTTAGACTAAGCCTGGATTTACTACTCCTAGGAATTGCTTATCCCTTCCACACTTGTGTCTGATACGTATTCCAGGTGGCTAAAATGAGATTACAACTAGGGTTAAGCACTTGGCTAGAGCGTTCAGTGTGTGATGAGCATCCCTGGGATCAGTGGACCTCAGAGGAGAACGCAAGCACTCAGGGCATTCCAGGATAATTACCTGTGTCTTATGGGAGTACCACACTGTTTTATCTCCTTATTTATGACCCTTTCTTCTTATTGTACGGATTTATTAAAATACCACTGAAGTACTTGCATTTTATTTCCCCAGAACACTGTAAGCACAGTGTTCTCACAAGCTAAAATGCTTCTTGCAAGAATTACAAGATTGAATTCTTTTGGCCTGCATCATGGATAAGGTCAGGGTGGATAATCCTTGAACTTCATCTGAGATTCAGAAATCTCTGAATCAGTTTCTCTCACTTAGACCAGAACAGCCCTTTCTGTATGAAGAGAGACGTTACGAAACATCTTAAGCATTGCTCCAGAAATACATTACGATTTTACATTAAATAGGTATTTCTTGATCTCTGCGTATCAATCAAGGCCTTTTCCTTACTTTTCTTGAAGTATATTGATAGCATATAGATGGAAATGGAATACCTTGATCAGAACAAGCTACAACATGGTTGGTATCATTGTCAGGGTCTCAGACTGCTCAGGCTTTGGCTTTGGTTAGGTTTTCTGCAAGAGACATAACAAGCCTTGAGTGCTACTCACTGGTGAACAGCTACTCATGGTCCGTGTTGTCACCTGAGTACTACACAAACACTTCTTTTCAGGGCAATTTATGATTTCCTTTACTCCCCAAGAGAGAACATCATCTGCAGTGCCGAACTACAGATTTGGAAACAAGGAACTCTGAGCTCTGCTCCCAGATCCGAAGCTGATTCGCTGCCTGGCACGAACCTCTTTCTTGTACCTGTCTGTGTGATTGATTAATTAAACCAATAAATGAAAACAGAGAGAGGTAGCAGTTGTGTTTGCTAGCGCTAGAAGTTTGGAGAGAATTGTAATGTGTGAAAAAGCTTTGTGCAACCGATAAACACTGGGATTTATTTCTGCCTTTTGATTGAGTTGTGTGACTGCAACATCAGTAATTCTGTCAGACTTGGTGCATATGCTTTTTTTTTGTCGCTATTTCAAAGCGTGAATCATTTCCCTCTCTCAGCTCTGGGGAGTCTGGTCCTGCTGGTGGACGATTCCTAACCTCACTGGGTGCACCTGCTGCTGAAGGTCTGCCGGCTCGGAGCCCTGTTCCCCGTGTTCATCTCACTGAAGAAGCCAAAGCTGAGCATCAGGATCCAAGAGGAGCTGAAAATGGAGTGGCCAAATTGAAAGGTTTGAACCGTATTCCAAAGGAAGAGTTTTATTCAGGCTGTGTATCTTTCTTACTGCAAAGAATTATAAAATTTCTATTTATTTGAGTGCCAGGGCAGTTTCTTCAGGCTCCTGGTCATGACACCCATGTAAGCAGCAATGTTATGATGTGGCAGAATCATCCCAGTGTGAGTGCAACGTGCTCAATACAGCAGCTTTCTCTCTTTGGACTTTTGGAGACATCAAAAACAGTGACTGCTCTAGGCATAAACTTACTCCTCCATATGTATGGGGTAGAGCAGTCACTAGGCTACCTGAAAATAATACTCTTCCCCCACCCCACAAACCACTGGGTTTTCAGCTGGAGATAGGCTTTGTGGTAAATCTTGACTTGTAATTGAAATAAACACCCTCTTTGTGCTTTTTCACTTATTTATTTATAATTTTTGCAGAGATTGAACTCCCGATTGACAACCTTCAGAGAAAACATGGCAAGTCCAAGACTGGTTCTTCTCACGTGCCTCAGCTCATCAACTGGCTGGGCTCCCACTCCAAACCTGTCCTACCTCCCATCCCGTCTGGGCGAAAGAGGACCAACCCTTGATGGCCACTACTACACAAGTCTTTTTCGTGATTACACTGAATCTTTCTGTCTAACAGGAATACTGATTTTGATATATTTCTCTTCAACAAAGTAAAGTCTATCAAATATTATTTCTAAATCCATTTCTGATTAACTGTCTCCCCAAAAAAGTTATTTATTTATAACTTTATTAAAAAGTAATTTCTGTACTTCCCAAAGCTAGAAATTATTTCCCCAGGTACTCTCAGCTGGGAAATGGCGTAGATTTTTTCCTAACAGCCACATGACCATAGCTTCCATTAATTTCTCTCTTTGTTCCCTCTCCTATATTATAGATTTAATTGAGGTGTGGAAGCATCAGAGCCTCTGTTAATATTGCCTATATTGTAGAACTAGTGTGTTATTTTGAAGAGGGATTTTGTGAAATGTTCAGAGTTAAGTTGGGAGTGAAAACTAGTTCCAAGTCTTTTTTTAATAAAATGTGTTTTTCTGAAGGACTGAGACATAATTCTTTGATTTGCAAGTGTATTTAAACAACCTACTAAGGAGTCATCAGAAAAAAAAATATTAGAATTATTGAGAACTAGCTGAACCTGTAAGTAGCATGTGAAGATTTGTTTTTCTGTATGTGGAGCAGAGCTCTGGCAGGTAAATAAAACTCTTGAGTTGATGTTTGTCCTGATGAGTTTTCATTACCATCTACTTACAGAACAGATAGTGGGCCCCTTTGCCCGAGCAGCTTCCCCTGAGGAGGGATGTTTGCTCTTCATACTACAGCGTGGATCCTCAGAGGTCTCTGCGTGCACAGAAGATACCACTTGTTGCCACAGTGTGGAGTCACGTCCATGGAAGAGCTCTGTTTTACCTCACCGCGCGTGTTCACGATGTAGCCAAGGGGTTTTGTTGATAAAATGGGATGAACTGAACGAAACGACGCAGCTCGTGGTGAGTAATGGATGGATTCAGATAGCCTGACCTTGAATTCCAGGGAAGCATGTAAAACAACTCAGCTTTTTATTAAGCACTTTCCTTTCCGTGGAGCAGCTGGCTGTATCCTCGAGCTGAAGAACAACGACTCTTCCGAGGCATCAGGTTTTTGTCACTGATTTTGGCAGAACAAAAAGCGAGGCTGCGCCGTGGGGTCAGGAGGAGATCAGGCAGG